GTTTCTCTGTACCTCTTTATCACTGTCACTGTATTTTTCAGTCTCAGGATACTCCTCAACTGGAGATGACCCTTGTGGGCGTGGTCTCTCACTCTCTGCGAACTGAGATGGCTCATCACATATCTGCATGGACATAAGGTCAGTAAACATTAAAACAAACCTGCTTTCATCATCACCCCTAAGAGATTTCATATCATTTCATTTGGATATTATCAAGCCTAGAAAGCATCTATTTTCTTGAGCTGCATATAAAATGTTTTCTTATTAAAACTCATGCAGCTGCACCGGCAGCATAAACAACAAAAAAAAAAAGATATGGAAGAAAATTGGATCCCAGATAGTGCGATAGCACCTTTTTTAGCCAAAAGCATCACTGACTGGGTGTTTAGCTATTTGGCATTTAAGAACTGTCACATTATTGGTGTGTTTCCTGAGATGGCAGCGTTGGCTAGTCTGTCAGGCCAACACTTTGAGCCAAATACTTTGTGCATGTGTACTTTGTGTGCATGTGTACTTTGTGTGCATGTGTACTTTGTGTGTGTGTGTGTGTGTGTGTGTGTGTGTGTGTATGTGTGTGTGTGTGTGTGTGTGTGTGTGTGTGTGTGTGTGTGTGTGTGTTAGCCCATGATCGGTGACAGCCTTGTTTATATTAGACTGATGTGATCATTTTTCAGTGCAGCACAAATATTAGTCAGCCAATCTGTATAAATACTATACACTGATTTGTACAAATTTCTTCTCTGATAAAAAGTGTAAGTTGTAATGGGTTGTTGTTATTTGCCTATCTGTGCATAGTCTCCATTAGCACCAAGTCTTGTCTTTGCTGTAAAGTTAAAATAACTGTTGTTCAGTATTTATTAGCTCAGACTCCAACATCAACATCATAATCTATCAATCAAACATGGTGGATCCAGTTTTAAGGCACAGGAATATGTGACCGCCTTCAAACAGAAACTGAACTGTTGATCACTTTGGTGATCTAGACACATTACTTCATACAGTCTGTTGTCACTGTATAATACAAAATCCTAAAAACATATGACAACGTTGAGCACGTACAGTAGATTTCCTTCTATGGAATGAAACATTTCAGCTGTTTGTTTGTGAAAATGTGCTAAATATGGAAAAAGGGGGATTAAAATGAAAAGAAAAATATAAAAACAGGACAAAAACAGTAAGGACATAATACACACATCTGTAAATGTAAAATTTTATAGTCTGAAATATACGAACTATTGATTTAACAGCTTTAATGTTATTATTCCACAGTGTTGATCTCCCAGTAGGACCACCTACTCCCTTGTCACTCATTCACAGTGACACATTTACTTACACAATATAATGCCCTCATGTTATGTTATGTTATGTTATGTTATGTTATGTTATGTTATGTTATGTTATGTTATGTTATGTTGTGACAGTTTTTCCCTCCGGTTTCAAAAATTTGAAGGAATACTGACACATGGAAAGATGTCGGTATTCGTGTTGAAAAAAATCAACATCATTATATAAAGCTGCACTAAAGTGAACAATATCACCAGCTGCAGATGGCTCAAATTAATAATGAATGAAATGAAGTCAAAGCACAAAACTTACAGTAACTAACTAAGAAATGAAATGAAGAAAAAACAAGCATGTCACTTTGTGTCACAGTAAATTCACTTACTGAGTCCTCTGTGGCAGGCTCTGGGCCTTGCAGCCTTCGCCCAGGTCCTGTTCACAAAAACAAAAAAAACACAATAACATAGTATATGATATGACATCTGTGTATTGCAATACTTTAAACGTAAACTGTTGACCTCTAAAGCTTCATTTTCTGCATGCACAAGTTTATCGCGTAACTATTTGGCATATTAATCCCTAAATAAATCGCATTAAGTGATTTTAGTCCGGTCACACAGCAGCTAAACAAAGTCTGTCCTGTTACTACAAAACCACAAATATGTCATGCAAAAAGGCACCTGGCAAAAAAATCACACTCCTCCGTTTACAAAAACAGCAAATAAAATGCACTGAACACGATTCATAATATTAAAATTTACTTAATTGTAACAGATTATACAGTAATGTGCAAAAGTCTTGAGCCACCTTTCATTTCTTTACATTTTGCTAGGAACATATGAAATAGCTGCAGAGATCCATTGAAACTTGTATAAACATATATTGGAAATACAGTATAAAAGGAAAAAACAGATGTGTGTACAATCCTAATGCACATGAACCTCAATATTTGGTATGACCACCTTTACTCTTAAACATAGCTTGAAATATCCTCTGACAGGTCAGCTCTCTGTCAGAAAAACATGATGTGTTTTTGTAACAAAGTGCCTAAAGATAGGATTTAGAACTGATTCTTTGCTAAGTATCAAGACACTGGTTCATCTCTTGAGTTGGGTCCCTTTTCATAATTGAATAAGTCATAGGTCAGTGTTAAGTGGCTTTAAAAGACATGTTAAAAGACAATTAAAAGACATGCCCCTGAAAATGTTCAGATATAAAGACATAAAGTGAAAAATAAAAAAAAAATAGGGATGATTCAAGAGGGATCACTGTCTTTTGTCCTCTGTCCTCTATTAGTATGAAAACAACACAATGTAAAAGTAGCTCACACTTGTGTTTTATAATCCTTTTGTTGTATGAATTAAAAAAACACAGAAATGATTTGCACAAAAACAAAGCATAAGACTTCCTCCCGGTCTGACCCCTGGCAGTTGTTTTGAGGCTCGGAGACTCTGGAGCCGACGATTAGACTATTTAGAGTTCTTCCTGGCAATAATTCCCTCCAGGGAGCTGCTGCCTCTGTTAAGTGATCCACTGTATTGACCCACAGATTGGACTTTGCAACCTCTCAGCTTAGCCCATCAAGGCTGCCAAAAAGGGAAAGTCTGACTCCAAATTAATCAAGTTAAC